AGCTCCCGTGTGGGAGCCAGGAGGAGGCACAGCAGCACGGGATGCAGCGCTCTTAAACGGCGTGCCCATCCCTTCCCGTAGCTGTACCAGCCAGAGCCGGAGGTGAACAAAGCCTTCGCATTTCATCTGCTTCCCTTGCCCCTTCTCAGTGAGGTGGGGAAGGTGAGGAGCAGAGATCTGGGTGCTGCTGCACATGGTTTCAGTGAGTAGAAGCTCCTTAGATCCTCTTTCCTCTTCTTTTGGAGCTGGTCACTGCCTGGGCCAGAAATCCAAAGTCTCTAGAAATTGTGCAGCTATTCCTGCCGCTGGGGAAAGGGCGGTGGTGGTCAGAAACCTTTAGGAAGTTGTGAGTATCCATACGTGTGAGCTGTGGCAGTGCCTTTCCTCCAGTAGCGGCATCAGTGATGGCTAAGGATAAGCTTGGCTTATCCAGGCTGGCTAAGGAAGATGCTGCTTGGAGAAGATGCCCTTCCTCTCCTGGCTGCAGCTGGCATAGAGGGGTCTACCTAAATTGCCTGCCTTTGTCACCTCCTAAAGATCTGTGGGACCCTGAAGTCCAAACTCACCACGTAATCACCGAACATAAGTCTTAACTTTGTCCTAGCAGGACCATCTGTGGGCACGAAGTGACCTTTCTTCATCACCTGGTCATCCCTCAACATTTCTGATGAATTTATGTGACCGACCTCAGTTTCTGCTGTAGGTTTACCCAGCTGCACAACAAAATTTCCCATGTCTGGCCAAACCAACCCTCCTTAAAGACTTGGATGCTGTAGGCCGGTGAGGGGGTGGGTGCTGGCAGAGTTCAGTGCCAAAGTGCTTTTTCCTGATGGGAATTTTTGGGCAGCTGTTCACTTTTACCTCTATATGGTGATTTATGGACTACAAGGTTACTGTCTTCCCCTGGTCCTGTGATACCCTTGGTCTGAAGAACCATGTTTTTGTTGCCATAGAGCTTAGAATGCCTCAGAAACCTTGGTCTCTGCAGGAGACTTCTGGTTATTCTTCATCCCAGCCATGACAATGGCAGCGCTTGCACATCAGAGGTGATGTCTGGAGCTCCTTACTTGCTGCTTTCTAGTCTGTGCTCCTAACTGGGGAAAGCTGGTGGCCACCCTTAGGCACATGAAGCTCCGTTCTGCAACACTGATGGTGAGACAAGGATGGTTCTCACCAGCTTTTCCACCCCAGACAACATCACGTGCTGTTCCCCTCTCCTGTCCATGCATGACCACTTGCAAGAAGCTCTAAACCTTGGATTTGAGCCAAAAATCCTTGGATTTGCCCCAGATATGGCAACCACTGGTTGCTCATCAGTGAGGCTGGGAGGAAGCGAACTAGCTGGCTCTGTCTGCATCCTGCGCTCCGCATTGGGTGCTGTAATCCAAAGGTTACGGTGCAGGATTAGCATGGGTGTACAAAGCCCTTCCTAATCTGTGAGTCATTACCCCCTCACTGCATTTCACTTCCCAGCAGCTCTGGGCAGGCGGGATAGGTCGGCTCTTGGGTCTTCGGTTTACCGGTTCTTCGGTTCGAGGAGGACTGGGTCGGGCTGTAACATCTGCTGGACATCTTCCCCAGGGCTCTGCTGCGGAGCCGCTCCTTGGATGCTGCAGACAGGGCATGTCGCAAGGTCTGTTTGCTCTAACTGGCTTCTCCTCGGCTACCCCTAAGCCCTTCCTTTCCATCAGTTCTCCTTTTTGGTTCTACCCATTGCTTTTCTTCTCCTCTTTGAAACAGGGGGGATGTTCTGCACCACCTGGAAATAAATTCCCTCTGGGTCAAGCTGGGCTGACGGGGATCCCTGAGAGCTGCCGTGCATGTCCGTGCTTCGTTAGTCCTTGTGCGCAAGGTATTTAGCCTGGCTGAGCTCTCATCCTAGTGTAAGCTATGATATTAATATAATGGCTCAGGGCAAGGGCCCTGCAAGCTGCTCAACCGTTATGCCCTTGATCTGCAGAGCGGTGACCGGCCGGACCTGCACCTCTCCTGTTGTAGATGCCGGGGCGCAAAGGGTCTGCCGGCTGTGAAACCCGGTCTGCGTCCATCAGCTCCTCACCTGCCTGAGCCAGGCTACGGCGTGGTGGCCCATGAACACCTCCAGACCCCTCCTGAGCAAAAGGCTGGGAGCTCTGCACCCCCGGCTCTGGGACTGGGATGGATGCTGTCAAGGGAGGCTCTGACTGGGTTTTGCTTCATCCTTCTCTGCAAGGCGCATGCCCGGGAGCAATCGCAATGGCAGCGCGGGTCCCAGCTCACCAGAGGTGAAACCCGGAGCCGCCCGGTCCCATGTGAGTGCAGCTGCATGAGATCCTGAGCCCTCCCAGCTCCCTTGGCCCCCTTACACCTGCTGATACAGCGAGCCATGGGCAGCGTCCGAGTCAACCGGTGAGTAACCCTCCCCTCAGGGACTGCTGCTGCCCCGGGTGGCCTGGTCCTCCTCATCTGGTCCCTCACGCCCTACCTTCAGCCTGCCTTTCAGTATATTTTTCTCAAATTAATCGCCAGGGGCTTTCCTGCTCCAAGGTATGGCCCCTCTCTCCGTCTCTAACCCAAAACATGCCGTACGTGGAGGCAGTGCTTGAAGGAGTACTACAGAGGAGAAGCAAAGCGCTGCATGGTGCTGGACCAGAAATGACAGATTCCAGCACCACTGCCCAGGAATCACAAGTCCAGCCACCAGTGCTTCCTTCCCTCACTGTGAGATGAGGATGGGGGTCATGAAGGCCATGCTGGAGGACTCCAGCTGATGTGGCAACCCTATGGGGTTGGAGCGAGACAATGCCAGTCGGAGGGGTCCTGGGAGGCTGTGGCTTGGCAGTCATGAGGGCAGAGTGGTCTTGGTGGGTCTGTGCACTCGCTTGATTTCCTCAGTGATCAGAGCATCTTCTGCCATCACATCTTTAAGGAGTATCTGCAACTGTCCCAGCAGCACATGAGGGGCAGTGGCCGTGCCGCCTGCGAGGGAAGGGAGCTGGAGGGGCAAACGTCTCCCAGAAAATGTGTGTATAGCTTCTGCCAGGGAAATTGCCAGTTCTTTGGCTGTTGATTTCCAAATTACACCTTTGGCTTCGGATGCAGGATGCTGGGAGCCACGCACGTTGCTGTGGCAACAGAATTGTCCTGAGCGCAGGAAGTGTATAAACATTGTCATCAACGCACCATGAAATCAATGAGGAGAGCAGAGGAGAAAATAGAAACTCCCAGCCTTATATAAAGTCAGGGCCAAAATGTGGTCAGACTGCGGGTGCTCCCTCCCAGGATTCCCGGCTGTCCCAGCTGCTGTCAGGTTTCAAAGCCTTGGATCCCTCCTCACCACAAAGGCTGGAAGGTAGCACAGCACTACAAACTTCTGCCTTGCTACCCTGTCAGGACATCGCTAGATGCAACCTCCTGGCATCAAGGCTTGGCAAATATTGCAGCTGAGCTCCACCAATTTGGTCAGGATGGCACCACGGTGCAATAACCAGGGAAATATGCTGTTGTGATATTCAACACCGCGGTACCGTAGCCCTGTGAGCCACCCACGTGTCTCCCGCCCTCGCTGTCTCGGTGGTTGCTGTTATTCTTCACGTATTTCTTCTGGAAATGCCTGTTCCTTCTCTTCCAGGTACAGCATCGTCTCGACCGAAGAGGATGGACACAAGGTCTCTGCGCTGGGCAGCATGAACGGGCACAGCCGGAACGGGAAGGGCCATGCCCCCCGGCGGAAGCACCGCAACCGTTTCGTGAAGAAGAACGGCCAGTGCAACGTCTACTTTGCCAACCTGAGCAACAAGTCTCAGCGCTACATGGCCGACATCTTCACCACCTGTGTGGACACGCGCTGGCGGTACATGCTTATGATTTTCTCCGCCGCCTTCCTCGTCTCCTGGCTCTTCTTCGGCTTCCTCTTCTGGTGCATCGCTTTCTTCCACGGCGACCTCAACGCACCGGCGGTGGGAGGCGGTCCCTCTCTCCTCAAGCCCTGCATCATGCACGTGAACAGCTTCCTAGGGGCTTTCCTTTTCTCAGTGGAGACACAGACAACCATCGGGTACGGCTTCCGCTGCGTGACTGAGGAGTGCCCGCTGGCTATCATGGCAGTCGTGGTCCAGTCTATTGTGGGCTGCGTTATTGACTCCTTCATGATTGGCACTATCATGGCCAAGATGGCAAGGCCCAAGAAGCGGGCTCAGACCCTCCTCTTCAGTCACCATGCGGTCATCTCCGTGCGGGATGGCAAACTGTGCCTCATGTGGCGGGTGGGAA